CTGGGCTGGGCTGGGCTGGGCTTTGCAGCTGGAGACAGTTACTGGGTAATGTAGACCCTGATCTTTAAACTCTCTTCCCTTGATAAGGGTTACATAAATGTCCTTATCCGCAGAGGGCAGAGATCCGCATACTTAGCAGTCACTTCTTTTCGTCAGTACTTTAACATCCGAGGATGTATGTCACACACCCCTTGAAAGCTTAGATATTAAAATCCAGGACATCTCTCGACCTAACCCCTACTCAATCCCTGAGAGCTGAAAACCCTGGCTATTGTAGATCGTTATTAAGCCTTACAAACCCCAGTTCGAATTCACCTGAATCTTAAGTCTCAAGCCCTGCTGCACCGCAAAACTTCAACAAAACCCTAAACCCTGAACCCTAAACCCCAAGGATTTGTTGCGGTGCTGCAGCCACTGCCTGTTTCGATGCCTTCGTGGTGGGGAGGCCGATAGCGTGGAGTCGTTACAGCGGTTTAGAGGTTAGGTCTGAGGGCTTGGGATTCAAGGTAGGGTATAGGGTTTAAGGTTTAGGNNTTTAGGGTTGAGGGTTTAGGTTTCAATTCAGCTGGTGTTCCGGGCTTTGAGTTTGGAAAGCCTTTTTTGGGGGGTCGTGTAGGGACTTTCCAAGGACATGTATGCATGGTCTTGGATATGTGTTGTTCTCTCAGCCAATTATCATAGTTTCCAACGGCTCCCATGTGCAAGTGTGTCTGTGCGCTTGACTTGACGGGCTTTGAGATATCATTCCCTGATTGTTTGGGCGTGAACATGTACAGCGCCAGCTTAAGCAGTAGCGCTTCAGCACTTAGGGAAGTAATTAACAAAACCATTCAGTATCCCTTGGTACATGTACCCATAGGCCCCACACTAGTTCCTTTTTTGGGATTACCTAATAGGATCCTAAATATAAGCCACAAAAAGGAACTAGTATGGGGCCTATGGGTAGACCCTAGTTGAGCTTTGTCGGCTCCAGGAGGGTAATGAACCTTCGAAGCGGGTAATTAAGCACCGAGGGTATCACACTGGCTTCCTGGGTTTCGGCTCGTTGTAGAGATATATTTCATATAATTCAGGAAAATCAGAGTAACAGCAACCGACACTTAGAACGTAAACCAGTGTCCACATTGAAAAATAATTAAGCCCGGAACGCTGAAGTTTTAAACCTCAAAGCCCTTAGACCCCTAAACTCTAAACCTGTAAGCCCAGGTCTGTGGACCTGATGGAGTCTATGCATGCGCAAAGTGTCAGTCTTTGCAGAGCTGGGGAGTATGCCAAGATGAAGCAGCCGGAAAAAATCGGAGACCCGAGAACCTGCGAGCTTTAGGGTTTAGGGTTTAGGGTTTAGGGTTCAGGGTTTAGGGTTTAGGGTAATTCAGCGGGTTCAGGCTTTTGGGTTTAGGGTTTAGGGTTTAGGGCCGCTGCCAAGAAGCCCCCAAAGTGTTCCGTTCAATTGGGCCTTCATGGTTTCTGACTTGCGATGTTCAGCCTTTTGAGGAGGCTTGTTTGGGGTTTAGAGGTTGGCCAGGATGAATGGTGCTGATAGGTATGATGCTACCGGGGGCAGATGAACATGATTGTGAAGATGATAAGAACACAGATGCTCAACAGATCTTAGGGGTGATGTGAATTTGTCGAACTTCCCCCTCGACGTCTCTACAATTCCATTTCGTATATGCATACATAAACAGTTCGTAAACATAATGTATTTGCATCGTATCTTTTGAGATTCCATGATCCGCATCTTTTTGGCTACTAGACCCCAAAATCCCACGAGCTCGCAACTAATGACACGCCAAGTTCCTGCGTTGTCGCCCTTGCACCTTTGCCTAACTAAACCCTAAATCCTAAACCCAAAAACCCGAATTGCTAGACCACGGTTGCAACATCCTCAGAAGCAGCGCCAGACATCCAACATGCAGCTCCTCAGAGAGCCCTCTACTGCAGAATTAGGAATACCTGAACACCAAATAGCCTACCTTTTGTTCGGGTCTTTTCAAAGGGCCAAGAAGCAGCAAGCGGCAGTTGTTTGGGTTCTGAACTTAGGAATATGTCTCAAGTTTGAAAGGGCGTACTTTGCTGATTTAAGGTGTCTACTCCCCAAACGAAGGGGTGCTGGGGAAGCCCTAAACCACCCAAAAGCCCTAAATTCTAAACCCTAAACCCTGAAAAAACAACAACAACAACACGGGAAACCAAAATGCTCTGAGCCCCAAAACCCGAAACTCTCAAACCCTAAGCCCTGAACATTAAATCCCCCCTAACAAATCTCTCAGCTTCACCCTAACCCCCCAGGTACCTACTATATAGGGTGCTAGAGCCCCTACATATATATATATATATAGGGCCCTACATAGTAGCTGCCTGGAGGGTTAGGGTCAGAGACGTCGGAGAGTTCCTTTAAAGCGAGTTCGCCTCGGCTTTCTGGGGGTTTGCGACTGTAGGGTTTCAGGGTTTGGGGTGTAGGGTTTCAGGGTTTAGGGTGTACGGTTTCAGGGTTTAGGGTGTAGGGTTTCAGGGTTTGGGGTGTAGGGTGTAGGGGTTTAGGGTTTAGGGGCTTAGGGGTTTGGAGTGGGGGGTTTAGGAGTTTAGGGTTTCAAGGTCAAGGGTTAGGGTAGCTGTGCGTAGGGTTCAATATGTCTTGAGTTTAGAGGCGTCGTGCTCTAGGTTGAGACCAGAGCTTGGGTCTTCTACGATTCAGGGCCGAGCCTTTTTTTATCATAAGATGCTAAGCCCTGGACCCAAGACCCCCAAACCCCCAGACGCCTAAACACCTATAAACCCTAGAGCCCATGCTGCCCAGTAGATCCAGTTCAAGGTAGCCTTATCGCTCCCTTCCAAAGGAAACCCTAAACCCTGCCAGCCCTGGCAAGCTGAGGCGTGAAGTCGCAGGCCGCGCTCCGGGAGCGCGATGGCGAGATGCAGAGGCGGGGTTCTTGCTATTGTGTGTATTCAGGGTTTAGGGTTTAGGGTTTAGGGGGTATTCCTGTGTGTTTTTTCTTTGCGGAGGGGTTAGGGGTTAGGGCTTGAAGGGTTTACCGGTTGAGGGTCGAGGAGTTTTGGCCCTAAACCGTAAGGGTTTCGAGCTTTCCATGTTTGGCATTAGCCATGGGAGCTTCAATGTTTTAGGGTCTAGGGTTTACCATGCATGGGAGTTGCGGATTTAGGATTTTCGATGATTTTCGGGTGGCTTTGTGCCTTTTGGAGTTGTGTGGCGTAGGGCCAGGGGCTTCGCGGTGAGTGGTCTTTCCTGTCTTTGTATCTTGGCTGCTTTTCTTATTGCCTTAATATTTAGAATAGGGTTTTGGGGTCCATTACACTATCACTACAATAAGGAGCCCTCAGAATAGTGCATTACACTTTAGTTATGATAAGGAAGCTGTGAAGCCAAGGGTTTGCTCGACTGCATCTGAGCGCAGACTTGACAGGCTTGGTGCGTTTGTTTCTCTTCTCGTCCATCGGTGCGTCCGCCAAATCAGTAATATAGGCGCCTTAATAATTACGTACACTATTTTGGGGGCTCTTTATTCATAATTATAGACTAATAGGCCACAATACCCACTTCTAATTATGAAGGCCCCTTACATTAAGCCTCGAATGAACCGCAGGCATCTCTGTTGATACACACGTTGTCAAGTCCGGTCTTCAGTGGCACTATCGCTGGGGTCTAGCTCTAAACTCTCTCAGCCGCAGTGCTTGTTTCCAATCAAGTGCATGGTGGTTGGTATCTGCATTTGCCTGGACCGCCGTAGGGTTTATGATTCGGTTTAGGGTTTAGGTTTGTTCAGGTGTTTGTGGGGCTGATAAGTGTGTGTGTGTTAGGTGTCAACTTCCGGTCTCAGGGGGTGTTTGAAGGCTCCTAAGCCCTAAAACCCTCAACCCCTAAACCCTATAATAGCCCTAAACACCTAAACTCTTACACTCCTAGACCAGAAACCCCATACCCAAAGTGGCTTAGCCGTCTGCCCCAGAGGCTGGAAGAAAAGCGGCAGCAAGACGAAGAGCAGCCCGGAGCCCCAACAACCTCCTTGCTAAGGATACTGTTGATGATATAAATCCTGCATTACCTGAAGGGCCCTAAACTAGGGGAATTATGGCACATTCCTTCTTATGGGTCATGCAGGATTTATATCATCAACCTTAGTTATATGTGGTACCCCCCAGTTATGTACCTGCTGGGTGGGTTTTAGAGCCCGCTAGGGAAGGGGAGGGCTAGCCTACTGCCGCACGTAGGTATGTATGTATGTATGTATGTATGTATGTATGTATGTATGTATGTATGTGTGTATGTGTGTATGTGTGTACGTATGCATGCAGGCATGCATGAATGTATGTATGCATGTATGCATGTATGTATGTATGTATGTATGTATGTATCCATGTATGTATGTATTTATGTATGTATGTATGTATGTATGTATGTATGTATGTACGTATGTATGTATGTATGTATGTATGTATGTATTCATGCATGTAGATAAACACATAGTTAGATGTATGCATGCACGCATGGATGGGGACGGATGTACGTATGTATGTATGTATGTATGTATGTATGTATGTATGTATGTATGTATGTATGTATTTATGTATTT